GGTTATGTCATTGTATGTCTTTATGCAGATGATATGCTCGTCATAGGTAGTAATAATGATATAATTAAAACTACCAAGAAAATGTTGAATAAACATTTTGACATGAAGGACATGGGCATTACTAATGTAATTCTTGGTATGAAATTACCAAAACATCAGAAGGATATGCTTTGTCACAATCTCATTACATTGAGAAAATACTTGACAAATTTAGTAAAGATAATGATCATCTTGCTCGAACACCTGTAGATGTTAATTTGTTTCTATCTAAGAATGTACAGGAAAAGTATTTCTTAATTAGAGTATGCCCAAATTATTGAAAGCTTAATGTACTTGATGAACTGCACTCGCCCAGATATAGCTTATGCTGTAAGTAAATTAAGTAGATATACGAGTAACCTAGGAGTAGAACACTGGAAAGCAATTATAAGGGTTCTAAGATATGTCTGATTTACTCATAACATTGGGCTAAATTATACTAGATATCCAGCAATACTTGAAAGATACTGTGATGCAAACTGGATATCGGATACTAGAGACTCAAAGTCCACCAGTGGGTATGTCTTTACTCTTGGTGGGGCGGCTGTATCTTAGAAATCTTTCAAACAGACTTGCATTGCTAAGTCTACTATGGAATCAGAATTCATAGCTTTAGACAAAGTTTGAGAAGAAGCAGAATGGCTTCGCCACTTCCTTGAAGATATTCCAATGTGGCCAAAACCGGTGCCCGCTATATGCATACATTGCGATTGTCAATCAGCAATAGGTAGAGCACAGAGTCATATATATAACAGCAAGTCACGACACATTCATCGTCGGCATAACACCGTGAGACAACTACTCTCTAATGGAATTATTTCCATGGTATATGTGAAGTCTAAAGATGTCACGATCCAAACCTGTTCCTATGGGTTTAGCACCATAACCGGCCAGTAATCCAAGATTACCGAAGGCCTGCTTAACAGTAATACAGTAAAACAGAGTACAGGGGCATGGCGGAAGCCAAAACAGTAAATAAACAATGTCCAATGAGCTGTGACAGTCTGTATGTAAAAAGACTTTTCATTCGAATATATACAGTCGGACAAAACAGTATGTACATATATACAATCATTCAGTTCAGGGACCTAATCCCTATTAAACAATACAGTACAGTAAACAAAACGGTCACAGAGACAGAAGGGGGAACTAAAACACCCCTAAGCCATAACTTGACGGGCTCGGAACCTCGCAGTGAGACACAGTGGTTGGCTTGACAAAACTGGAGCTTACCCAGACGTTTCTAACCACGGCCTGGTGCCTGGACAGCTACATATATATGAACAGTGAGCTAAAGCCCAGTGAATAACGTAATGCGTAAAGAGGTTAAGAATGAATGTCCTTACAGTAATGAAAACAATTCATTAAATCAGTATTTCAGTCGTTCAGTCAGTACAGTCGTATGTGGTACATCCGTTAGCATAACAGTACAGTAAACAGTAGGTCTTGAAAGACCGAACGGTAAATAATGGCCATCAATCAGTAACAATAGTGGTTCCAACAAGGGAACCGACAGAGATCTCTGTTACAGTAACAGTAAACAGTAGTTGCTAAGGATGCCACAATACAGTTCAGAATATAGGACATACATTCATTCAATTAACAGTATCAGTTCAGAAAGCAGTACAGTTCAATTGTTCAGAAGATAATCATTTTGAACATATCTTTACACAGTTGTTACTCACAGAGTTCTGGGCTACAGTAAAGCTAGAGCGCGTCCCCCGTCGCTAACCCTACACAGTTTACAGATTGAACACACACTAAGCTACACAGTTGGGAAAATAATAACTTAATCCCTAATTTGCCTCGGTGTGGTTCTACATCTATATCCTCATTAAGATATCTTAAACTAGGCCTAATAATGCCTAGGATGAGATGATGATGCAAAGATGCACTTTAAAAGCATATTCAAAATTTTCAGAAAACAGGGGTCACGTTCGAGCGTATGTTACTCCGCTCGAGCGGACATGCAGACAAAGGTTTCCGCTCGAGCGTAGAATTACCCGCTCGAGCATTCTGCAAAACAGTCAAAAGTGTTGGATAGGTGAAATCCACGCTCGATTGGGCGCTCGACACCCGCTCGAGCGTAAGACACAAGGTTCCGCTCGAGCGTAAATTACCCCGCTCG